CTCAGTGAGCAGAACCCCCTCGCCTTGCCCCCCATCCCCCTACTTTTTGCACAGTTAATGCTGGCGATGAGCGCGTGACACGAGTTTCCAAATAGTTACGAATTTTTGGAGCTTTAAATATTTCAAATATTTGTACTGTATTTTTTATAAGATTTTTGTGTTCGGCCAGCTCTATTTGATAAACTTAATTTTATACGTTAAGAGTTTTGTTTAAGAGCTGACGAAGTGGAAGATGATTTTTGTCCCTTTTATGATTCTCGAGGAGAAGCGAAATATATTTGAGAAATTGGAAAATTGTGCTATTGAAAGCTCAACAACTCTAGATTCTAACCAATTTAAAAACATAAAAAAAATTTAAACAAATGCCAAATAACTATAAATATTGTATTTCACATTATTTTTCTATATAATGTGTTTACCTCTTTAGTATTATTAATTTTTTTTTTTGATTATAATATCATTTGATTGAATGTTATATGAGTTATATATAATATATTTATATATTTTTATACCTTGAACCCATCTAAAATGGGTATAAGGGTATATTGTATTTGTGCAAAATGCAAATGTATGTAACAGGCAGATGGAAGCTTCTCCGACCCCATAAAGTATATATGTATATTCTTGATCAGCATGAATAGCCGAGTCGATCTAGCCATGTCCGTCTGTCCGTCCATCCGTCCGTCCGTCCGTCCGTCCGTATGTATGAACGCAAGGATCTTAGAACCTATAAGACTTGAAATTTTAGATGTAGGTGCTCCTAGTGAATGCGCAGATCGAGTTTGTTTCCGATAATCGATAGCTTACTCCATTTCCGAGCAATCGATAAAAATCGATATCGATATCCTGTTTTTTGGGCAATTTTGGTAAATAATAAGAGCTAGAGTCACCAAACTTGACATATAGCTTCTAAAATAGAATATATATATGCATTTGATTTGGAAGAAGAGGGTTCAGGGTATCCCCAATTCTATTTGTTGTGTTTGAGTTTTATAAATATAATATATCATTTATTTTTAATATGAATAATATATATTTTTTTAAATTTACATTAATTTTATAATATGTTTGAATTTAATATGTGTCATATATTTTGTAAATTTTTTTTAATCTTCATTATTTCTTCGTATCTATCTACCTTTATTATTTTTTTAAGTTTTATATGACCTATATGTTTTTTAAATTTATTATAATATTTATTAAGTACTATCTCACTATACTATCTCACGCATTCATCGCTAGTGAAAACCACAGAACTGACGTAACTATTTTCATTGTTTGGTATTGTGTGTGCAGCTCTCCAGTTAATAATGTTTTAATACAATCGTTAGTTAGTTAGTTCTTGAACCCTGGGGGGCTTGAACGTTGGCGCACAACCATAACTAATCTGTGCTAGTCGATTCGTGTTGCATAGAATCTTGACATGAGGAAGCCATTTGGGTCGCTTTTGTGTAATGGCAGTAATTAGTGGCATATTAAATGCCATTAGTGTGAGTGAGATGGCATTTCTGATCATTAAAACTATACAGATTTGTAGAAGAAGAAGCAGAGTTACAAATGTTAACAGATTGTTTTGCAAGCCGTTGGGAATTCAGGTGCGTCCCGAGAACTATAATTATGCAACTGAAATTGGCCTTGAGTTGGGCTTAAATAAATGTTTAAATGTTATTAAATATGAGTATATAACATGTTAAGGAATCAAACGACAACAATGCAAATAAATAAATAAGTTAATGTTTAAATGTATCAAATGATAATTAGCTGAAATTAAAAAAAAATAACATGAATTAAATGAATAAAAATATTAGTATATTTTGTTCAAGTAGTAGGAAGCGTATTTAGTTTTTATAATTTAATATATATTTATTATGAGTTTGTTAAATGTTTTTTTTTTTTTTATTTATTTATATATATTTGTTCTGTAGAAGTTTTTGTGCCTGACTCACTTTTGTGTCTTATTGTATTTTGTTCTTAATTTATTTTCTAGTAGAAAGTATCCCTGACTCATTTTATATATATTTTTTTTATATTTAAATATATATTTACCATTAACTTATTTAGTTATAGTTATTTTCTGGTAACTCTTAGGCCTGACTCTTTGTATGTCTTGTTACATTTTAGTTTAAAAATTTATTATATATAATTTGTGCCTGACTCACTTTTCGTCCAGCTAAACGTGTAATGTTTTTTTTTTCCACAGATTTTCTTTATAATAAATGTCAATAACAACCAGTTCACTTTGGCTACAAAAACTATATCACAATTACAGTCGACTTTCATAGCATAAAACTCACAATCATTATTGTTATTATTATTATTGTCATAATTACCTGTTGCCCTTCCCGAATGCCCCACTGACCGGTGTGTATGCGCTCGACGCTCACCTTGAACTTGAGCAAAGTGCATTTAGTTATAAATATAGTAGTGCCACGATTCCCTTTCCCTTTTTTTCTATTTTTTGATTTTGTTACATGTATTTTAAACGTATGTTCCCCCTTTGAGTTGACTTATGAGTCACATTGAGCTTCAGCTTCTGGATAAAAGTAATCCGAGGCAATCGTAACAGTTGGCGCGTGCGATGAATTCTGAACATGAACACGTAGCTTGATATGTATACACTGTATTTATACATAATATATTTGTTTCAGCTATTAGTTTTGGGTCTGGACGGACCAACGACCGTCCTCGGCATGTTTTGTGCGCATTCCAAGTCTCGACAAAAAATTAAACTGGCGACACATCCGTATGGCATTTATTTCACGTTCTTTTTATTTTGTTTCGTATCTTGTCGCAGTTAACATGAACTCCGGTAGCCGCTTTTGCGTAGCTCAGAAGTTTTTTAATCTTTTAATGATTCATTTACTTTGATGTTTGCACACATCAACAATATTAATTTTAACAAATTTTCAAAAAGGGCATTCAAAGTCGTGGCTGCCCCAAACCAACCCATACAGTTGCCACTCTGCTCTTCTGCTTGGGCTCCAGTCACTGACCGTGGGCGACCTTGTGCGCCAATTTAGTTAAATTATTTTGTGGTAGCAGCAGCTGAGATTTTTCATGGACCTGGAACTGCTGGCGTCTTTTATTATTGATTATTGGAGTTCAAGTTGTTTTATGCTGCTCTCAAGGCAATCATTTAGCATGGAAATGCTGCTAGAACAAAAGACTTAGGCTACGAACTTGACGCAAAGGCATCGATACTTTCATGATGGGCTTCTTTTCTGGTTCCTATTGAACAATTTTTGTTAGTTTAGCAATAAATATTAAATTGTCCAGAACATGATCATAAATTTAGTCGACTGTCGGTGGTATATTATGAATATTGGTCTTTAATCTTAAATCTTGTGGTCGCAGCCAGAAACGAGTTTTTTTATAGGAAAAAGGCCCAAATAAGATGATCAGCTGATACAGATTTTGTTTTTATTTTAACATTATATTTGGTTGACTTAAATCTTTCTTTAGGAAAATCAGCTGATAAGACTTGATTTAATTGAATATTTTTTACAAAATTTAAATAAATTTATAAGGCCAAAGACTCAATATGATATTATAATACAAATATATTCCTTAGATAAATCTTTAGATGAAAACATATATTCATTAGATAAATATTTAAGTAAATTATACAATTATTCACTAATATTTTTCAGAAAATTTAAATAAGTTTATAACTTACTTAAAATCAATATTTTATATGACATAGAAAAAAAAATTTTAGGTAAATTCATTAGATAAATATTTATATTAAATACATTTATTGGGCTTTAAACTCAATATTATATATTCGATTCATAAAACATGTATATATATATTAGATAATGTATTTTCTATACAAAAAAATAGTTTTACTAACTAGATAATTGACAATAATTTTTCTCTTACATTGTTTTATTATTTAATTCTTTATACAATGTTTCACAAAATACATTTTTTTTATTCGGGAAATATTATAAACTATCTCACCTTATCTTAGCTTATATTAGCTTATTTTAAAGGAAAATTCATATGATATAATGAGAGTACATATTCCAATTGAATAAATAACATATGCATATATACTTTTAATTAACAACTAATGCCCATGCACTTAGTCACTTTGTCAAACAAACTTTTATTTCTTTGCTAATCTTATGAGAGTTCGATCTTCACTGAGTTCGACTACAACTGGAGTTAGACTACTAAAATATTTAATGTACTTATTTATACTTTAAGATTTGTGTGTGTGTGTGTGTGTGTATTTTATGGCTAATTTGGCACATCATAAAAGTTGCATCATGCGCTCGTCGGGGCCTGCGTCTGCCTCCTCTGTGTAGTTCTGCCTGGTTTTGTGTTTGCCTACCAAATTTGCGACTGTCAAGATCTCTAATGACATCGACATATATGTATACATATATATATATATATATATATATATATATAGATATTCGAGCAGAGATCAAAGAGGCTGACACTGTGATTGCTGCACGGTAGCCGGCACTAAAAATTCAATTAGCAAATTAAATATTAATTATATGCAATGCATTGGGATGCTAATTCAATTAGCAGACGGTTCCAACATGTCAGCGATTATCAGCGTTACTCTATTTGGTATTTTAGTGACAGCTGAGTATTTTTTTTGTTTTTAATATTATTACTATTTATTTTGAATTAATTGCTAGTTCTTGACTTGATTATTAGTTTTGAATTGTGTGCGTGAGGTCGCCTCAAAGTGAGCGAGTTTTTCTTTTAGCTAAATAGGCTGGCAAGGCCCCAGCAGCGGCAGCGGCAGCAGCAGCAGCAGCGGCAGCGGCAGCAGCAGCAGCAGCAGCAGGAGCAGCAGCCCTCGTGCCTGTCCAGTTTTATTAGAGCATAAATTCACACACTCACTTTGGCGGCGGGGCTAAAGAGCTTTCAAGTGTCAAAGCTTTTGGCGCTCTCGCGTGCGCGCGCTCTCTCTGTGTGTGTTTTGTCTTGCGCTCAGCGCTTAACGACGCTCAGTTAGCCAACGACAGGCGTTTGATGCGGACGCGACGGCGCAAGTAAATAGCAACGAGACGCGAACGTTGCGCGCAGGCGCAGCCAACAATCACGTACGTCGATAAAGTGTGCTTTTTGGTTCGTTTGCATTTGTTTTCTGCTTTTGTGTTTTGTGCTATGCGCCGGGCGCTCAGTTAAATTTAAAACAGCAAAAAAATATAAAAACCAACACTTCACGCTAAAGTTGGCAACAACAAAATATATATATATATGTATAGAAATCGGTAAACAATTACCGCAAAACGGCAGCTAAAATTGTAATAGTTTGACGAAAAATAAAGAAGACGGTAACGTAACGGTACAATTTATGCTCGTCTTTCTAGCAATTTGTATTTATGATTTGTGCTCGTCTTTTCTTACATACACATATTTCAAATAAAATAAAATAGATGCTCGTGAAAAAAATGAGCACAAAAAAGTGTGCAAACGGCAATAAAATAAAATACACATAATTAGAGCTAATAAAAAATTGAGCAAAATATTCGCGTAGTAATGAAAAATATAAAAATAAACACAAAATGCATTGAAGCGTATTTCGCAGTTGTAGTTATTGTGTTGTAATATTGTTTGCACAAGTTGCGCGTATAATAAAAAAGTTACTATAAAAATTAAAAAAAAACTCGACAGTCATCATCAAAATTTCCCACTAAAACAAACAAAATTCAATAACGATTCATAATTTATTTATTTATTCTCTAACGAAATCTATCAAAACGTTGCGAAAAAGAAACGACAAAAATTTCAGAAATTAATAAATTAAAAACTCATAAAGATAAACGAATAAACACCAAAAAAAAAAAATCAATGCGAGAATTTGGAAGCTTCTGTCTGCTTATATGCATATACATTGCTGCTCACTCGCTCTCTCTCTCCCTCTCGCTCTACATGCATTGTATTTCTTATGCACGTTTTCCCTTTGCCTTTGTGTCGTTTATACAACGCGCGCTCATTTTTTTGAGAAGGTGGTGGGGCTTCTGTATTGTAGACTTTACCGTTTGATCGCTCTATATGTGTATGTGTGTGTGTGCCTATGCGTCAAGTGACGACAGACGCCCATTTGTGCTATTGTTGTTGCTGCTTTTTTTTTTGTCTGACGTTTTCTTAAGGTGCGTTGCTGCAGCCGCGTGTTGCTGTTATTTTCATTTTTCTGTCGATTACTTCATCTGTTGTTTATTTCCTATATGCTGTGTGGCCGCATGTAACTGACCCACGCCAAAACTGACCAGCGCAAAAAGCGCAGTAAAGCAAGAAGCCAAAAACTATCCGCACAAACAGCAGCCAAAAAGAAAAAAAAAATTGTAAAAAAAAAATCGCACAAAAAGCCGGTTGAAGGCGACTCTTACATATTTACACGCACCACTGCTCATTGAACACACACAGCAACAACAGGCAGGCAGCAAACAGAAAGCAAAAGCGGCACAACACAAAAACCTGTAACGCAGTCAGCGACGCGACGTCGACAGAGCTTTTAAAACATTTGCAGTCGGCGCCGCGTCTTGATTATGTCAATTTCATGTTTACTTCATTTCCTCAACCAAAAAAAAAAAAAAAAAAAAAAACAAAAACCAAGAAGTAAGCGTCAGCCAGAAGGAGAGAGCAATAGCAATTTCACTTTCGTTGGACTTGAAAAGCTGCAGCGGGCTGCGAGAGTGAGAGTCAGAGAGTGAGCGAACGCGTCAGCTGCATTGGATGCTGCTGCTGTTGTTGTTGCTGCTGCTGCTGGTTTAGTGGGGCGTTGCTTCTGCTGTTTCGATGTGTTTTGTTTTTGCTCTTTGCTCTGCCATCGCATAGTTTCGGTTTCATTTTGTAACTGTAATGCCTGTGCCATTGTTGTTGTTTGCTGCTTGACAGACGCACGCAAAGCTTTTTATTTTTATTTATTTTTTTCTTTCGTTGAGTCGTTGTGTATGTAGTAAGTAACGTAATAACGTAATGCGCTTTAAGGTTTCCACATGCAATGCGACGTCGTCGCGTGTTACGTTTTGGTGCCAAGTCCAGCGTCGACGCCAGCAGCAACAGCGGCAGCGGCAGCGGCAGAAACAGTTGCATTGTTTTTGTTGTTGTTAGGTAATCGGGGCTAATAATGCGCTCATATCAGTGCGACGACTGCGACAGCGACGGCGACTGCGACAGCGACAGCTCCTGCAGCAACTATGCGAAGGTCAGCAGCAACAACAACAACAACAACAACGACCAATGAGATTTTCGATTTCATGTTTATTCTCCATTTTATTTTTGTGTTTTACACATTTTTTGCTATTAAAATTTGCGTGCTTTTCGCGCTGTCAGTTTGTGAAAAATTCTAATTATAAATGAAACAATTTATTACCGGGTTTTAAAAATAAAATGCAATTTATGTGCAAAGTCTGGTTGCGTTGACTAGTTAAAGACAAAAACCGGTTTCTGGCAGCACCAAAAGCAGCGGCAACAAAAAAAACAACAACAACAATAGCCAGTCGGTAGGTGCAACAAAAAATAAACAAAAAGCCAAAAAATAATAAATAAAAAGTGAACAACTCAAATTTTACGTAAAAAAAAAAGAGTTTAGAAAAATAAGCTTTTGCAAACACATGTAAAAATCTGCGAAAACAATGAATTAAAATTTACAAAATACAACAAATATAAACAACTTAATAATTTTATATGCATCGTTTTGCAATTTGTGGGCTTGTGCGTGTGTGTGTGTGTGTGTGTGTAACGTACTTCATTAATCAAAAATAATCAATTAATCAATTGATAACAATAATAATAAATGCTAATTTTATTGCTCAGATATTATTTAGCGGCTGCTGCGTCTTTAAACTGCATCAAAAATTAGACGAAATTGTGAATACAATTAACGAGATCAAAACAAAAGAAAAAGAAAAAAACAAATCAACGAGTTAAAATAAAATTTTTTATGCCGGTTTTTTACTGACAAGTTTGGTAAGTGAACTTTGCTAGAAGAAATGTTTAAGAATTTGATTTTTAATACTGAAAGTAAACTGATTTGCATAAATAAAAGAAGAATTTTAAGAACTCAACATTCAAAATGATTTGGTTAAATATTAAAACCAAAATCAAACCTCGCATTACTCACAATTTAAATGCTCGGCCTATATTCTGTCTCTCTATCTGTCTCTCTCTCTCTCTCTCTCGCTCTCTCTCTCCCTCTCTCTCTCTCTCTCTCTCTCTCTCTCTCTCTCTCTCTCTCTCTCTCTCACTCACACACGCACACACACACTCTCTATCTCTATCTCTATCTCTATCTCTATCTCTATCTCTATCTATCTCTATCTCTATCTCTATCTCTATCTCTATCTCTATCTCTATCTCTATCTCTATCTCTATCTCTATCTCTATCTCTATCTCTATCTCTATCTCTATCTCTATCTCTATCTCTATCTCTATCTCTATCTCTATCTCTATCTCTATCTCTATCTCTATCTCTATCTATCTCTATCTCTATCTCTATCTCTATCTCTATCTCTATCTCTATCTCTATCTCTATCTCTATCTCTATCTCTATCTCTATCTCTATCTCTATCTCTATCTCTATCTCTATCTCTATCTCTATCTCTATCTCTATCTCTATCTCTATCTCTATCTCTATCTCTATTTCTATCTATATCTATATCTCTATATATATATATATCTCTATCTTTATCTCTCTCCCTCTCTCACTCTTTTTCTCCCTTTAATTGTATAAGCTTCAAAGTTTCCGTGTGAACGAACTAGGGATTCCAGGATTTTAAAATATATAATTCATTTTGATTATCTGTGTAGTTAATGTTCTTAGTTCCATATCAATATCGACAGAAAATTCAATATTGAAATGAAATGTTCTACTCTGAGTAAAAAAAGTAAGATCTTTTCGGCCTCATTATACTCCGTTCACAGTACAGTAAAAGCTGGCTTATACTTACGTATTTAATTGCAATTTTACCTCTTTCCCAATTAAGAACCAGGCATAACAATTCTAGAGGGCCTCACACAGAGAAGCATAGGACTTAGGCTGTAATATTTTGTAGCTTCATTAAATCTCTTTTAGTGGCACAGACACTGATTGCCCCTTCGGGGCTCGTCAACTTTCACAAAGTCAGAACTTGTTGTATTCGGTGTTGGGGGAAAACCCCGTTGTGCGGATACTTAAACATTTCAATGCCTCAACAATACCCAAAGACTCAGTTACATCCGCGTGCCAGCGTACGTAACAAGTTGCGTATGCGCAATTCTCTTACTTCTTTTTTTTCTCTTTAGGCACCCTGTGTCCGTTTAAATGATTAAAAAGGGTATACCAAAGGCGAGCAAGCGTATGCAGCATTGTTTATTGTAATAATAATTCGAGTAAAATATTGGGTGGAATTTTTGGAGAATTTGCCTAGAAATAAAATTCCAGTTAATATTCATATTTTGTATTTATACGTTACGGTACTCGCAGTTTCCTTTTTTAAGTCGAAACGCCTTTCTTTGCGATTCTCATGAATTCAAGTAATGACTGCAAGATAATAATAATTTAGTTTGTTCCCTTATAGTAATTCGAATTCGCTCTATTTCTCTGCCCCAAATATATTTCTTCAATTACTTTTGAATAATATTCATATTTCTTTATCTATTTAGTAAAAATCTACTCGATAGCTGCTCAACCGCGCGAGAAAACGAAACCAGCTAAACTTTAAACTTTAAACTATGCACCACAAGCTAAAGTATCGTTTTCTTAATATCTGGTTTATTGAATTTAACGAAACAACGCCTTGACGTTAAAATTTTAATGGGGTTTATTGCAATAAATTAAAGAAGAAATAAGAAACCGGATTTTCAAAATACACGAAAAACTACAAGATTCAGCTGGTCAGCTGTGGCAGATTATGTGTTTAGCGTATTTTGTATAGGCCACATTTCGGCTAGGGTATTTAACTATTCGTCACGCTTAAGCTATTATTAATTCTCACTTATTCAATTTGATCGGCACTTAATTATAACTTTTGCCTACGTCATTCTAACAACAAACAGCTGATGATGATGATTGTTGCCGTTGCTATTTCCATTGCTGCTGCTGCTATTGTTGTTGTTGTTGTTGTTGTTGTTGTTGTTGTTGCTGTTGTTGTTGTTGCCACCACATCGAGCCCTCCTTTGAGGGGCTTTGTTTTGCTTGAATCCGGTTCTAAGTTTTAAGCATTTCTGGTTTTTTTTTTTAATATTTTCAATCTTTCATTTTGTCGAGTGCTGAAAATTCAATTCCTTTGTTCAACTTCATTTTGCTGGGTTATTAAAGTTTTTTATTTAGTTTTTTTTCTGTATTTCTATCTTTACATTTCCGATTAGCAGTGAGGGGGGGGGGGGGGGGGGGGGTCTTAAAATCGAAATCAACCTCAGCTTCTTAGTTGCCCTGTGTTTATCCAACTAATTTAGCGCTCAGATTCAGATTGGTTGCATTGAGCTGCCTGCTGCCTGTCACTTGTCTATAGCTCAGCTCAGCTTTAGTTGGAGCCGCCGTCTCCAGCTCAGTTTATATTTTTAGGAGTCTATCTGCAACCTAAACGCTTAGTCACGAACCGTACCGATCCGTACCGAGGCGCAAAAGTGCACATCCATCTGCCACTTGGCCACAGCTGGCATCTGTTTAACTCGTATACCCTAGCAAAGGGTGTTATATGTTGGCACGAAGTGTGTAACACAGTGAAGTTTATATAGAAATATCAATAAATATGAATAAAATAAATAGAAAACACGCTCGCAAATTTAAATAAATATATATGTATGCAAATATTCCATTCCTATGTTCTTAAAAAAAGACAATTATTCTTTATGCTTGGAATATGTAACATTTTGAAGTATTTTTTATAAGATTTTATTTTCTCAATAATTTGCATTAAATAAAAACTTATAAGAACCTCGAAAGATCGTCAGCATTAAAAACTTATCGAGTATGATTTCTAAAGAATTTCAATTTCTTTATTTTCCTATTCCCTTTGAAAAATGATTTATTCAAAAAGTCTGGTAATAATTTCTCAACTATTCCAATTTCTTAAATGGGGCTAAATCCTATGAAAAATTATTTGAAAATTTTGATAATAATTTCTGAACTGTTTCAAATCTTAAAAGTTACAAATTCATATGAAAAGCTTTTGAAAGTATAATATGAAAATCTTGTTTGTTTATCAAGATATTCGCCGTAAATTAAAGATCTATTTAATGTGCCATATTAAAGTAGTATTTTTTCGAGTTCGAAATACTTCTAAAGGTAAGCGAAATTTGATTTGCTATTTTAAGTATTTTTTCTGTTAGAGTATTTCTCGAAATCGAAATACTAATGAAATCAAACGGAACTTGAATTCTCCCTTAAAGTACGTACTGACAGAGCAATTTTTTTGAGAATAATTAGACTAAACTTGAATTGTTGTGCTCAAAAACGAATAGCGTATTTCTTTTGTCAGGGTATTAAAACTTCGGCTGCCTTAATTGAACTGTCCTCGTTATTTATTTGTATACTTTGATGTTGCTGCTATTGCATATAGTAAGATCTATCTGCCCACGATCTGCTCGGCTGTGGTTTTAGTTTTTGGTCTTGGCTTAATTAAGCATCGTTTGTTTTAAGCACGCACATGAAGTATGAAAATCTGTTTTTTTAATTAAGTCTTGGGGCTCGCATCTAAATCCATTGCAAAATCTTTGGCTGACATTTCAATTAATATTTTGTTTATTTATACAATTTGTTGCAGCTACCACCGACATATACAGAATATATAACTAGCATGAAGGGCTGGTTCGACGCATTTCGAGACGATGGCGGTCCAACGCTTTATTCATTCTCAAATCGCACACCCGTCACGGGCGATGTGTCCATTGTGGCTGTATCTGTGCTGTTTGCCACATTCTATGTGGCATTTCTTGTCATATTTCCGGGTGTACGTAAACAGGTGAGTTTGGAAAGATTTTGAACGAAAGTATTTCTCTAGATAAAACTACAGCATGCCTTATATGAAGAAAAACCTATCCATTCTTATTTTTTGTCTGCTTTACATTAACCTAAAGAAGTTAGCAGTCTCTGCTTTGTATGCTAAATAAAGCGATGATGTTTATATCAATTTAACTATATAAAGACTTGGACTTGGACTGCAAACGAACATATGAAAAAGTAAAACCCATTAGCTTTCTAAGCCTTAGATTGGCATTATCAAACCTGTTGTACAGGAAATTGTGGCTTAGAGTTTTTTATTTTTATATTTGTTTTTTTTATTTAGACCTTTAAAAAATGTAACTTCTCATTCTAGTTCCTCGAACTAGTTTACGTTCAGGTCAAGGATTTGCAGTATTGTTTAACTACCACATTACAATGCCAAATAACCTGTTATATAGTAGATTTACATATGCATATCATGTATATTATATGTTTTCGCTTAATGTTTTCATATCCACTTACCATATTACTTTTTAATTAGCTTAATGATATCTCCAGTTGGGTCTGGCTCTCTGGTCTGGTCTGAGGTCTGGTCTGGGTCTGGGTCTGGGCTCTGGCCAGGTACAAGTTCTCACGCTGTTGCCGGCTTGTCTGTCTACGTCTCGTAGTTAAACTGACAACTGTAATCATAATCATAATCGTTGGCACGTTTTCAATAGATGTCAGATATAAATCTATAACCTGTTTGCGTGGCGCGCCCTTTTCTTGCTCTTCTCACTCTCTCTCGATTTGCCCAGTTACCTAGTTTGGCCAATTGAGTGGCTTATTCAATTAGCCAGCCAATTGGCCAACTTGTTGGCCATAACTGGCTTTAAAACGCTTACGTCTTATATAATTGCATTTACGAATTGACACACACACAAACACGTACACACACAGGCACACCCAGTGCCAAGGCAATCAAATAGCTTTAACATCTTGTTATAATCTGCATCTCGATTTCAAATTCACAGAAGTTCACAACATTCTCGACGGTCACACTTAGCCTCTTTGTGGGTCTAGTCATACTGAGTGAGTATACCCCGCTGCTCTAAGCTGCGCCAGCTTTTTTTAATACATATACCTCTACTCTTGCCCCGCTTGCAGTCACCCGCCTGGGCTCGGCGTGGCATGTGGCACATGCAACCATCATTGCACCATACAAAGCTTTCTCACGCGAGAAGCTGCCCGCCCGCATCGGCACCCACATCGGCTTGATGCACGTCAATGTGACACTCACGGGTGAGTTGATATACAAAAATATCTATATATATAATATTATTATTTGACTAAAGGGTTTATACATAGTATACATACATATGCAAAATAGAAAAAAAAGAAAATACATAACGTAATATTTTTAACTGAGATTGATAATTAATATTGAGTATACCTTTTAATATATATATATATATATATATAAATATATAAATATATATAAGAAATGTATGTTATTAAATGTTATTTGTTTACCTAAAAAAGAAAGTCATTATAATTTCACATTTCATATATTCTGGAAATTATGTGTTTAAAAAAGGCTGTTGATTCAAATTCTGTTAAGTGTACAATGTTATCAAATGTTATCAAAATATATGTAAACCGTTAAACTGTTAAATTTTGAAATATTTTTATTAAGTAAGAACTTCTCATGAGAACTTCTTATATTTTCAAAACATTTTTGTAAGTGCCGACGTAAATGAAAGTTTGTCCATAGCTTCCATCTTTTAAATAATTTATCATATAAACCTATTTTATATATTATCTAAAATATATACATTTTAATATGTATTCATCTCTATGTAATTGTTTCAATTTGGAAGTGTCTGATGCAAAGCATTTCTTCTTTCTTTGAACTGCCCTCGTCACATCTGTGTTGATTGGCTGTCGTTATGAGTTTTATAAAAATGTATTTGATGTGTGTTGTTGTTAAATCAGACACGTTAACATCATCAACAAACACAACAACTAAAGCAACAGCAGCCGCATAACTTCCATGCGGCCCGCCCCCTTTCGTGCGGTTGATTGAATGGCTTTTGTTGCCAACAGGCTCAAGATTATGAATGTATTACCAAAAATAGTTTTTTTTAGTTCATTAGCAGAGATGTATATATGCCCAGCTAGGGTGCTGTTGTCGTGCCCCTTTGCCAACTGATGCCAGGCGGAAGATAAACGACTCCGCGGCAGCTATCGGCAGCGGCTTGAAAATGTCGCAAGCCGCAACAATTGAGCAATTTTTGTTCAAGATTTTAATCGGCACTCAAAATGATTTTAATTAAATTTTCGGTTAGGGTAAAGAGCAACTGTTGCAGTTGCAATTTGGCCTTTTGTCTAGTTCGTCTGGGCCTGGCTAATTGATTAGCCTCTGTGGAAGTCGTAAAAAAGATATATATATAAAACCGACCTGAAATATATTTAGCCCACTGAGAAAGTGACGTCAGCAGCGCGGCTTTTGGATTTGTGTGCTCTGTGGCCAAGTGCCAAGTCAAGCTGCATGTCACGATTCCCGCATTGACTTCAACAAAAACAGCAGCAACAACAACAATAAACAAACAACAACAACAACAATCGTATAAAATGCCACTCAACACCTGCGGAAATATTCGCACAAGTGACTGCTGACGCGCTGCCTCTCAACTTGGCTTGCGCACATGTATGTTATGTATATGTATAATACTCGTAGTCGCACTCGCACTCGCACCCATACTCATGCGTAGTCGCATTTGTTTGTTTGCTTCACTCATTCACTCACTCAATCGCACATTTGTTCATTCATTGATTCGTGCACTCGACAAAACAACAACAGGAAAGACACAATAGAAAAAGGTGAAATGGTTGCTTCGAGCTGCCGCAGTAAATCAATTGAAATGCCAACCCAGTCGAAGTAATCCTAGCCAAATGTTAAATCAACCAGTCAGCCAATAGCTGCAACTACAGCTTATAAATAACATATAACAATAAACGTATAAGTTTAGTAATTTGACTAAGTGAAGATTAAATGCTCTATTTGGCATGGATATAGGAAATGGACAAATGCAAATATTTATGGATTTTTGCTAAGTCTAAGGCTTTATTAAAAAACATATAGGAGCTTCACATTTTTTTGGCTCTTTTTCATACTCGTATTTCACAAATATGAGTGAAATTCAACAGTCCTTGGTGAGATGCTCTATTTGTCAGAGTTTTACATAAGAACATATAGATATAATACGGATATATATAGCTACGTCTATAAATATATCTATAGATACATATATGCTAAGCCCAAGTATTTATTTTCCATATTTTCCAAGCTTTGAATCTTTAGATATGAATATATATATATATTTGTCGGGTTCGAGAAATGATTTTTCACCTATATTTCGGCTGTGTTTCTCACGCATATTTCACACATATGGGTGATATTCAACAGTCCTTAGTGAAATACACTGTTTGTTACAGAAACACAGAAACACATTAAAATATATTATATGTAGACATAGATGCGGCTATAATTATATTTCTCGATACAAATATATATTGGCCAGGATCAAGGAGTTTTTTGGTAATATTTTCTAAAATTTTTAACCGTTTTTCGGCTGCTTTTCACACATATGTCTAAAATTCGACAGTCCTTGGTTTATTTGTGAGCACTTTGTATACATACAAATGCATACTTCCAATTCTATAAAAATTTCGTTAGACCCTCTTCCGTATGCTCTACTATTCTGTCTGCTGCTGGAGTATGTTTCTGCTTCTGTTTTTTCCTGTTAAAAACCGAAAGCTCTTTGGCTCTCATAACTGCAAGCAATTGGCCTGCCCAGCGATTATGTCGGTTACCATATTGGTTTTGAACTATAACAGATTCTTACCTATTGCCCCGAATCGCCAACTTCTCTTACCCCTTTGGTTCACCTCTCTGCCCCCGCAGCCATCACAATGTTTCAGTAGCAGTTAACAAACTGACGCTGATGCCAAAAGTGCTTCATGTTCATTTCAAACTGCTTCGAGTTGCCATTGTTATTGCGCTTGTTGTGGCTGCCGTTGTTGTTGTGCATGGGTGTGTGTGTGTGTGTGTGTGTACGTGTGTGTTATTGTGGGCGTGTGTCAGCTTGTGGGCGTTGCTTACCAAAAGGGCAAACGTAGCTGCGCTCAAGTTGACTGGCAAAAGGCAGCAATGTTGTTGAAGTATTTTATGTAGTTGGTTTAGTGATACCCTATATTTGTTGAGAATGGGCATATTAGTTGTGCAAATGTGATATAATGAGGGTATATATAACATATCTAATTATTGGAATCGAGGATATCAGATATCAGATATGTTTTCTCGTTTCTTAAAAGTTCAAGGAAAAACAAACTATTGTCAGAGACGAGGTCTTCATATCTGATTTATTCACAAGATCAAGTGCTCTTTTATAGTTGAAAAACTTTTAAATTTCGTCAAAAAATTAAACAGACGTTCTTTAAGAATAAACTTTATTCGTTGTATGGGACTAAGTAGGCACAGCTGTTCGCAGGGTATCTGCTAGTCTCACATTTGCGCCTAATACCTTTTTGAGCATATTTGAATATGATAATTGCGTGTGTCAATCCGTGGCAGGATGATTATATTGAGTAGCAGCATAGTCCAAAGCTGACAACTTAATTGTTGCCCCTCGAATTGAATTCAAATTGAAGCGCTTTGAAGCAATGCCAAATGGAAAGACTACAGAAAAGTATCAAATGTCTAGGTGTAATAATTGGGAATGCGGCTAAAGCATTATTATTGCTACTATGATAAACGCCATAATAATAATGATAATGATAATGATGATGTTGCTGGTATTTATGATGATTGTGCGGCCAATTTGCTTGCCACTTGGCCAAAGGTATTTGTTGTTGTTTTTTATTTCTGCCATTTTGTTCCACTGCATTTTATGATATATGTTTATGATATTGCTGCTATATGGATTTATATAGCTAGGCCTTGCATATCGTGCCGCAATGTTGTGGGTGTGTGTCACGCTCCATAAGCTGCCACATTTAGAGGCATTTGGTTTGGTTAGAACTCGATTCTTTTCGTTTTGCTTTATTATAGCACACCTGGCTTGGATTCAGTTGCAGTGGCTCCAATCAGGCGCCTGCGAATTGCTCAGACCTTATATAGCCAGGCTATTGATTGCGCCGTGTGATGCCAAGCTGCAGTCAAATGACTAAGCAAACAAGTTTCTGTTTTTCGGCTTTATTATTCTTTGAGTTCAACATAATAATGCATGAAAATGGACAATGGAAGTCGTCTGACGTTTTGGGTAAATTTACGATATTTCATTGCAATTTTGATTGAAGTTAATTGCACAAAAGATTTTGGAATTTTTTGTTGTACATTTTGAAGATTTTATGCAATTAAAACAAATGAACAAATAAAAATAAAAATAGGCACCTATTATTTTTATTTGTTTCAAATTACCAATAACATTAATAGTAATTTTCCTCAAATAACAAATAAAATTTAATAAGTTTTTAGTATTAGAATGAATATTAGAATCTAATAGAATTATTAGAATATTAGTTTTAAATTTTAAGAAATTATTTGCAATTTGTTTCGCCTAAATATAATTTAATAAATAAAGTTAGTGAGCCCATAAAGTAAATTTCGAACTGTTTTTAATTGAATTACAAATATATTTAAAAAATAGAGTTGGCAAGTGCAGAAATTTCAAAATGAAATGTGGAAATAAATAATATTTGATAATATTTGTGCCAAACTTTTATATTATAAGTATGATATTTCATAGGTTATTTATTTATATATTATATTTATAGTAATCTGACATACGGAGGCCATATAGAACATATAGAAATGCTGATAAGTTCTAGAGGGTTTTTTCTATAAAGTATATATATTCTGGATCAGCATCAACAGCCGAGCTAATATAGCCATGTCCGTCTCTCCGTCTGTTCTTCTGTCTGTTTCTATCATCAAACTCAGCATCTACTCTCCGATATCTGCAAAGCCGTAAGGCAAATGTCTACGGGTGTTATATCTTCCGCGTGCCGAATATATCCTTACGTTCTTGCCTGATTCTGATTGCATTTTATGTAAATATTTATATATATGAAATGCATTAGGCAAATTTCATGGATATAAATTATAAAGCATTGTACTTTTTGTGGTATTTTTTTTTTTAAATATTGTTAATTATTTTTGTAAAATTCCAAATTTGGAATAAATTAAGCTAAACAATTGGGTTATATTTATTAGCTTGCGTTTTTCCGAATCACCGCCC